CATCCATATCATATTGACTCATAGGATGCATAGCAGCGTCCCCGGGCTCTACCCCCCAGATGCCAGTAGGCACGCTCCCAGGGGGACAACCAAGTTGGGGCCCAAGATGCCTAGTGTGCTCTCCCTTCTCCCCCCAGGGACCACCTGCTGGGCCATCACCATATCCGCCTCAGTGCCCGTCAGAGTCTGCGCCTACCTCTCCCGGGGCTCCGGGCTGGTCCAACCAAGCAGGCGCCTGGTGCCATGAGCTATTGAAATCAGGCCCCCTGGTTGGGCATCTGTAAATGTTGCCGGGGCCAAGGCTGTCGGTGTGAGCTCGCCACGGCCCTGCAGGGGAGGTGGGCATCGGGGTCGGCAGAGTGGAGCACTGGTCCACCCGCTGAGACCATAAAGCTGCCTCCGGAGGTGAAAGATGGGTCTCCCCGCCACAGGGATGCGGACAGCTGTGGAGACACGGTGGCAGGGCTGATTTCAGGCAAAGAGATGGAGGGAGGGAGAATGAGAAAGAGCCAGAGATACAGAGCCAGAAACAGAGACCCAGGCAAAGACAGGGAGAGACAGAGACAGGGTGAAAGGAAGCAGAGAATAGGGCAGCTCGAAGATAAAGAGAGACAGGAGACAGGGACATGAAGATACAGGAAGGGGGAGAAAAAGACGGAGACACTGAGAGACAGAGATTCAGAGTTAGAGATGTCAATCCCCAGACAGAGGCACACAGGGGAGTTCGCAGCAGAGAGCAGAGGCGAGAGGGGGCGGCAGAGGGGCCGGCATCACAGGGAAGACGGCAGGCTAGAGGACTCGGGGGTGACACAGACACAGAGAAAAAGGGACAGAGACATTGGGAGACAGCCAGAGGCATAAGGAGACGGGACAGAGACACCCAGAGAATCCAAAGGAGGCGGGGAGTGACCTTGGTCCTCCGGTCTCAGGCCCAGAGACCTCTGTGGCCCAGAAGCTGCACACGTGTGGGTATTTCTGCACGTGTGTTCACTCACACCTGTCCTGGCGTGTGATCGCTCCTGTGGGTGCGCGTCTGTGCCCAAGTGCTGGGACAGCGCCAGCATGCATCTATCCACTACTTCACCAGGGCGTGCTTCCGGAGCGCCAGGCGCAGCTGTGGACCGCTGAGTACCAGCAGACAGGCCCCTCATGGAGCCTCCTGCTTATTAGTAGAGAAAGACAGCACACACACACACACACACACACACACACCGCTGCTGTGCAGAGATCTAAAAACAGATTCATGTGATCAGGAGCGACTTGAGATTCCTCTAGATCTGGTGGTCAGGGAAGGCCACTCTAGGAGGTAACTTTGAGGTGAGACCTATTAAAGAGCCAGACCAGCAAAGATCAGGGGCAAATCCTTCCAGGCAGAGGAAGGGGGTTGGTACAAAAGCCGCAAGGGGAAAATCCACCTGGCCAATTCAGGACTGAGAATGGAAGCCAGTGGGGCCCCAGTTTATGGGATGAGGCTGCTGGACAGGAAGGCGGAGGCCAGATCGTGGCGGGCTCTGAATAAGGCCAGGGAAAGGATTTGGGTTTTTATTCTAGGTGAAATGAGAACTGGAAAGTTGAAGCAGGAGAGTGAGTGAACATAAGAGCTACAGATTTGGAAAGGCCTTGCTGGCTGCTGGGTGGGAGGGAGGTGTCGGGAGGCTCCTGCTGGGTCCAGGCAGAAGCGGGTGTGGCTTGGGTGAGGGTGGGGAGGAGTGGGGGGATGCAGGCTGTCTTGTGGAGTAGAGTCAACAGGACTGGATGGGGGCCGGGGGAGGAACCAAGGATGACTCCTAGTTTTTTGGCCTGAGCTTCTGAATGAATTATGGTGGCATTTACCAGAATGAGGAAGACGGGAGGAAGCAGATCTGTGGGGAATAATCAGGAGGTCCGTTTGGGCCATGTGTGATATGCGTGCGTGCGTGTGTGTGTGCGCGCGCACCTGTGTGCCCGTATGCCACGGCCCAGGTATGCGCGTGTGCATGTGGGGTTCAGACCACCTCCGCTCGGCTTCGTGGGAGCTCCTGGGCCTATCCTGGGACAAGGCCCTGTCTTGGCTCTTCATTTTCCCCCAGCTTCCCGTGCTGCCCCTGCCAGATGGGGATTCCCCGATGGCCAGCTGGGACGGTGGGGTGGGCAGCCCTTGGGCCCGGCTGACATCTGGGCAGACTACTCTGGGCCCAGGAGGCCTCGGTAGCCCCACCCGGCAGTGGCAGTCAGGCTCCAGGGCAGCTGGTGGCGATTAGCAGCGTTGATTACCTCGTGGTGATGCCATCTGGGGTGAGGGCACTGAGCCCAGCCCCACAGGAGACCCTGCTTGCTGGTGTGCAGGGCTTTCTGGGGCAGACACATATAAATGTGTGCATGCATGTGCGTGCACGGTCAGTGTGTGAAGGGGGGAGTGTTCTGCGGGAGCCTCCTGTGTCTGTGCGCACACATGTGTATGCACTGTAGGTCTGCAGCTTTCTCTGCTCGCATATACGAGTAATCACACCCGTGGGCACATGTGTGCATGTCTGTGCATGTTTGTGCAGACATATCTCTGTGTGTGCATATCCAGGTATATGTAGGGCTGTACGCATGTATTCTGAGAATTGTGCACCTGTGTTGGAGTATATCAGGGATATATTTCTGTGGGTTCATATGTGCTCATGTATGTGTCTCTGTGCATCTGTTTATGTGCAGGACCATTGTGTGTGTGCGTGTGTCTGTGTAAATATAAGTGCCTACATGTGCATGTGAAGTCTACAGGTGTGTTGTGAGACAGTGTATCTGCACGCCCCTGGATGTGTGCACACACGCGTCCGAGGGAGGGACGGGCAGAAGCACCTTTCTAGACTGTGTCTGCAGTGTATCCAGGCCTAGGGAGCACCCCAGGCTTGGCGGTTCTTGGGCGTACCCTTGGGGTGCTGGAGGGAGGTATCTGTGTTCCCCATTCTCAGGTCCTTCTGGCTCTGACTGCTCTGGGTCCAGCCCTCCCCTCCTGCCTGGGAGAGTCGGGTATGAATGGGGTGGGGGGGGAGGGTAGGAGTTGCCCAGGATGGCACAGTAGTTAAGAACTTGTGCTGTGAGTGCAGGCTAGCTGGACGTGGGTCCCTGTCCCACCATCTCCTAGCCATGTGAGCTCTGGCAAGTTGCGCCGTTCCTACGCTCCAGGTTTCCCCATCTGTAAAATGGGGATAAGAATAGAATTCTCCCTCCTGGGGTGGACGTGAGGAGTAAAGGAGCCAGCCTATGTGAAGTTCTTAGCACAGACCCTGACCTATACGTGTTGCCTATTGGTTCCCAAGTGCCCACCTCTGGGACAGCATCCTCTGGGAAGGCAGAGCCTGTGCACCCCCTTCTCAGGCTGGACTGCCCAGAAAGCCCCACCCCTCCGCTTCCCGCCTGCTGAGCTCAGCGCTTCCCAGGCCCCACCACTGTTGTAGCCACATCTGGGACGGCTCCCGGCGGGGACCGGGACCACAGTGGGGCTCCTCTGTGGCCTTGGTTGGGGTTTCCGCTGACTCAGCGCCTCTGGCTCTTAAGGCGGGAAATCCCAGGCCTGCTCCCGCTCTCCCGGGTTAGATGGGGCCACAGGGCTACGGTACAATCATGTTATTTCTACAGGAAGTCTCCCCTCATCAGGGGACCCCAGTTGCTCCCTCTCCACCACACATCCATTCCTCCCATTCATGGGCCTCTTGAACCCAATTCTCTGTAGTTCCTTGGCCTTGCTGCCCAGAAATTTGTTTGCTGCCTTGGGCGGGGTACCCTTGGGAGGGTCACCTTGATCATCCCCTGCCTCTGGATAGAACTGGACACCGTACCTGCTCCTTTTTGCTCAGAAGTCCCATCAATGGTGTATATGCTTGAATCCCAGCCCCCCCCACCTCCTGCCAGTGTTCATGGTAAAAATGATAATAACAATGAATTTTTTTTGAGCTCCTTTTTAAAAAAAATATCATTTTTATTACTTGACAATCCTAGTCTCTTACAGCTCTTCTTTTCGGGGGGTTTTTATAGCTATTCTTGCATGTTTATTTTTTGAAGTAAACTCTACCCCCAAGGCAGGGCTCAAACTCTTGATTCCGAGATCAAGAGTCCCATGCTCCACCGCTGGAGCCAGCCAGGCGCCCCATATGGAGCTCCTCTTTTGTGACAGACCCTGTATAAGCCCTTTGATAGACTTCCACTCCTTTCCTGCTCACAACAACCCTGTGAGGTATAGAGATCATTATCCCATCATACAGATGAAAAAGGGAGTCCGAGTTAAGTAGTAAGTTCCAAACCACAAAGCTAGAGCCGAGGACAGGGACTGGAGCCCCTCTAACCCCGTGGAGTCAGGAAGAAGAAGGGAACCTGCTGGGCTCCACTTCTCGGGGGCCTGAGGCTAGAGCAGAACGGGTTAATGCAGCGCCCACCCCCATCCCGGGAGGACCCCCACCCGCACCCTCTCCAGACCCAGGAACAGACTAACTGGGAAAGTGAGGCTGAGAAACTGGAAAAAGCTGACCGAGGAGGCCTGGGCAGTAGCCACGTCACCGCTGCCACGAAACTGGGGAGGAGGGTCTGCAACCCCCCGCCCGCCCTCCCCAGGCTTCTGGAGGCCCAGCCAGGAGAGGGGAAGGGGGTGGCACCGGGG